TAAAATAAACTCTCGCATATATCCTCTCACACCTGATATATTTATTTAATGGGAAGAAAGGTCAGAGCTAGTGAAAAATGAAAAATAGTAATTAAATATATCATATTCAACTGCAACTGTTCAGATCAATTGGTAAGGAGATTGATTACTGTTAGGTTTCGTGTTCAAATCCTCTCCCATGGAGTTGCCTTTAATTGCCGACCGAATTAGTCTGATCAGGTACCGGAACTCAAGCAAATATATATCTTCAAGTGGCGGCTAGAAAAATTGCTTAATTTATTATTTTGGAGGAGTGGCGAGCAACATTTCCAGCTGTGTCATCACACGCGGTTGACAAGTTATAATCATTCCATAAAGTAAATCACATAAATAATTATGGATGATATAATTTTTAATTTTTATCATTTTTGATTATCATTGATGTAGTCCTTAAACTTTGAACTCAATATTATTAGTACTACTCAATCCTTCTTATATTTTATTGAGTTAAAGAATTATAGAAACTCTATTATTCTGATTTAATATATTCAGAGAATGAATTGATAATTGAAGAAAAATTCAGGAAATGAAAGTTATATTTTCCCAATAATTTATAAACAATTTTGTGTTCAAAGTAGATAGGGTGGATGGCATCACCAAGTATCAGCTTCCGAGTATTTTTAATGGTTGCTTATAAATACGGGGAAAGTAGTCTGAAAACCTAAGAAGAAGAGAGATTATGAGAATTATTAGAAGCACAAGAGATGCGTTTTGGGACTTCAGTCGCAGAAGAGATGGCTCCTACTACTACTGGTTGCACCTGTACGTAGTCGTCATCTCTCCGCCACTGAAACCCCTCTATTTCTTTCTCATTCGTTAATTTCTTCAATATTCCCTCATCTTTCTTCTTCTTATTATTCATTTCTCTCTCAATTTCCTCGTTTCTTTTTCTTCTTATTCTTCTCTCTCTTTCTCTCTCTGTGCAGCTATAAATATAGCTGGCATGACGGGTAATTTTCCATGCGTTAATATTGTATTACAGATTTATGGCTAATTCTCTATGACTTTGTAACTTGGATCTTCTGTGCATTCTGAGAGTTTTTCTTTCACCTTGTTCTGCCTGGGCTAGTTGCATTCAAGAATCACAATTTATTAGTTGTTTCGTAAGTAGTTTTTGGAGATAGCCGCATCAATTAATTCCCCATCCTTTTTGTTTAGACCGTAAATTTGTTATCGGCACAGATCAATTATCAGGCATTATTGGGCACAGTGATGGAGTAAGAACTATAATAATCATGACTGCAATTTCATCCCGAAAACTTCTAACGGGTTCTAGATTTATATTTTACATTTAATATTTCATCTCTACCAGTCAAGTAACTTTAATGAAATAGATTAAAAGCCCAGTTGAGTGCTTCTGATCTCGCCGGCTAATCAAATGCAGAATTATCTATATTTGATATATATCCTCCCTGTCTCTGTTATAAGGACACCTTAGAAATTGATGATCCTTCATATGAGGCTATTGGTGGGGTATTTAAACTCGTCAACGATAACAGAAAATGTAATATACTTCCTTCACTTTTATTTATAAGAAAAACTATTATTTTTTACTTATTTTTTATATAAATAAAATTACATATTTCAATAATTATTTATTACACACTTCCTAAATCATCTCTCATAATTTATATTAATGAAAAATAAGTATTGCATACTTATGTTGATTAATATAGGGCATTTTAGTCCAATTTTTTTTTATTTTAAAACATAATTATTATAGTTAACTAACTTTTTTAAATTGTGTGATACAATTTTTTTCTTTTATATATAGAAATAGAAGGAGTAAATTTAAAACTTTCGTTTGAATATGGATCAAATTAAAAGTTTGTTATTTTCTTAGATAAAGTTAATGATTTGACCATATTGATGAGGTGATTAAAGATGCCTTATAATAGTAAGAACATGTGGCACTTAAACGACTTAGAGGAACCAATTAATGCTCAAGTCTCAATGATTTTTTTAGTGTCATAAATATAGAATCCAGTTCACGTTTGGCCAATAATTAACCTCATTTTGAACACGATCAATCGTGTTCTTGCTGTATTTATCTGCTAATGCTTATCTAATCACCTTTTTCAATGCTCTCATGCTAACTTACTACTCCCTCCTATCATAAATATAAAATTAGTTAGGAAATTTGTTTCAATTTAATTCTAAATATAAGATCTCAATCTTCTTTATCTTCCTTAATTAATATTTTTCTTACATTATCTTTAGTAATTTTACAATTTTTCTCTCTGTGTTCTCTCACATTTAATATCCTCATTTAAAGAGGATTATTTTAAGAAAAGTGCACACTTTTTTGTATACTAATTTAATAATCATTTTTCTTAATCTTTGTAAATTCATTAAATAAATTTTATATTTAGTATCTGAGCGAGTACTCTATTTGACTCCAATGGAAAAGAGATCTCCTCTACTCCTACTCCAGTAAATTATTGCAAGTTGTCTTTTTTCTTTCTTTTCTTCTTTCTTGACTGTTGCATCATTAAATTAGAATCCTCGTACTGTATCTGTTTCTAAACTTTCAGCACGACATTGGATTTTGTTTGCCCTTATATTGGCCGCATCTCACTAATCCAAAGGTAGTGAAGTTATATATATATATATATATATTGGTGAAGGGGGAGTGATATTTTAGTATATTTATTCTACAAGCATAGAGCTTGCTTATACTTCTTAACATGCGCGCTGAGCTGTAACACACAAAATAAAACCCAGGCACGTGAATCTAAAGAAACTCCTTGCCTAACATGACATGATGATTCTTTACTTCTTTTTCATTGCTCAAATTTGCAGCATAAGTTATTTTTTAAAATTATAATTTTAAATTCTTGCATATTTATTCGTGTTTTGTTATAAATTTTTATTTTTTTAATTTTTTAAGTCTCTATAATTTTATTTTTTAAATATTCTAGGTCTCTAAATGAATAAAGTTTAGGAATCTTAAAGAAACTTAAAATATTAAAAAATAAAAATATAAGGATTTAGAATACAAAAAAAAGTGCAAAAACTTATAAGAAAATGAGAATAAAATATAGAGATTTAAAGTTATATTTTTCTTTTTAACTATTTAGGTAGGGTTTGGAAGGATGGATTTTGATTTAAATTTAAAATCTCTCATTTTAATTTATTTTTTTGGGTGGATTAAAAAATGTCACATGCATGAATAGAGAATAGTTGAAATTCGAAACAAAAATAGAAAACTGAGAATGAGAAATTTACCTCTATTTTTCAATCAATGAGAAATGATAACAAGAGATAAGAAAAGATATGAGAATTATAGATTAATTAATAATAAAAACACAAAGAAAACAAGAGATTTGAAGTTATTTGAAAATTTAAAATTACAAAAAAATTATAAGAAATGAATTTAAATTCACAATTTTTTGTGTATCCAAATGAGGGATCAGGTTCAAATTCAATTCTAAATCTAAATTATCATTAATGCAAACACACCATAACTTCATTTATTATTTCTTTTGAAAAAATGATTCTTTGAAATATTAATTATCATTATTAATGTACTTCTATAGAATATTTAACAAGAATATAATAAAAATATTTATAAATTTTAAAAATATTAAATGTTGTAGCTAACTTAACTCTTTTTCAGAAATATGAAATAGTTACTAATATGTTATATTCTGGGCAGAAAGAAATAAGTGTTTCTATCTAGTGTGAAATTAAGAATGATCATTTGAATTATATTCTTATCAACCCAGGCGTTTCCTTTAAATATAATTCATAGTATGAGGTGCTTGATTTTTTCTCAAATTTTTGAAATTATCTCTTTAAATGAATGCTTAATTTTTTGGCCCAAAAAAAATACTCATCAAAGGTTTTTTTTTTATATATAACAATACTCATTAAAGGCAACAAAATTTGATATTATTTGACTGGAATATCATCATAAATCCCCTAAAATACTGATGCTTACCTTCGAATAATGCCTATATTTCGGAACAATTATCACTCTGGAGTTCTTTTTTAATTTCAAAATATTTTTTATAATTGTAATAGTGTATTTATGAGTGTTTAGGACGAAGATATTTTAGCGAGGCATTATTAAATGTTATTGTAATTTAGGTTATTTAGTACTTTTTTGGTTGTACAAAAACATCAAAGTGACAATTCCCCCCCCCCCCGGGAAGGAGCCTAGGAGGTCACAATCAGATCAAGGATGCTTGAAGTTTGAACTAGCCAAATTTATTCCATATGGAAGTCTCAAGTCAAGAGTCAAATTTCATATGGATGTTTTAAACTTTGAAGTTTTAACAAGTGCAAGACGAATTGGCTGCATTTTTCAAGTCAACTAATTTCGTAGCTTCGTATACTGTACAAGGGATACATGTATAATTCATTATGGAGAGTATATATTCATCAACGGCAATAGGTGAAATGGTCTGATGGATTGGTCTCTACAGATCTTCCAAACAAGTGGATCTAAATGAGGCCCTGCAGTTGAAGACCCGTATATGCTAAATATTAAATATCATTTCATCAAAAAATATATATTAAATACCAAGTCATTACGTCACGGCACGGTCGATTAAATATAATGAAGTTCGGTAAATTTCACGTTTCTGGACCTATCCATGACCAAGTCACACATACATGAACACCAGCTATGAAAAACACGTGTCGGAAAAAGGATGCGGGGAGCTCCGTAAACTAGCCTAGTCTAGTCAGAGATTGGCCATTCCACATGTTCTAGAAATGGTTACGCCGTTCCGTGTGGCAATAGAAGTCAACTCCAAAACAACTCAAATGCCGAGACGGAAATTAATTGGAGGGGTTTTTTTTTTTTTTGGGGGGGGGGGGGGGAGGGAAAGGAAAATTGAGAAAAAAATTAGGAGGGCAGCCTTTGTAATTTTCCCACACAGAACAGGAAACGAAATATTAATCAAATACAAATAAAAATTTTTTCCCCTGAGGGCAGCCGATATCATACAATGTAGCTACGTCCCTGCTCAAATGCCAAAATGATTCTACTTGTACTGATTAGCAGTTTGGTTACAAAGGTAGGCAATGCCTCGGGTACAGGGAGAGAACCAAGTCAAAATCAATCACAGCAACAACGGAAAAGCCACAAATGCACATAAACGAAATTTTACTTCAAATGCTTCGTTTTCGCTATCTATTCTTGCTTTTTTGACTTCTCACTCAAAGATCAAATCCCCTCTCTCTTTGTCTGGGCAGTGTACAGCTAAACTCCTCTTTTATCTGTTCACCATTTTACATCCAACTTGTTCCACGTGGAAAAGAAAGCAACAAAAAGCTAAAATCAGCTCACCCATGTTTGACTGTATGTCCTTGGAATAAAGTGATGAAAAAGAACACAGGAAGGAAGCGGTGGCTACTTCACTAGGGGCTACTACATTCAGTTCTGTCATTGTGTCATGTAATGGTGTATACAATATCATTACTGCAAGGTTCACCAACGACTCCCCTTGCCTTCTCTCCAGCAGAGATGATGCGTATAATATCATTCTTTTTTTTTTCACAAGAAAGAAACAATAATTCAATGATCATGCTAACTAAATTTGCATGTAGACGGCCAGCAGAACAAACACAGCTGCCGGCTAATGGTCATTTGCACTGTCTTGGTCGGAAACTTTCGTTTGACAACAATGAGCTGATCAGAACTTCCAGCCTTTTTGCGCCTGGACCAGGCCTCAGGACAGTAGTATTACCAATAACCAAGCAGGGATCAGACCCATTCTCCCGGCTTCCGATGCACCAGCCTCCAGGAACAACCATGCCAGGACCTCTGGATAGAAGTTCAGCATCAACCCTGTCCAATACCGGATCACCTCTAGGGAATTTCCTTGCGAAGGGAGCATTGCTATCGATCATCTGATGCATGTCATCAAGCCTAAGGTAGTGAGGATGTTGCTTGGGAGGATTGTCCCAAGAAATGAAATGAAGATCGCTATTCACAGTTGTGTTACTGAATTCCTGGGCATTACAAATGACAGTATGGAAGTATCCTTCAGGAGAAGATATGAAATTTGCATAGTACATCAGAACAGTCCGAGGTAGGTTATCCCATCCCCATATGCAATAGTCAATGAAAGATCTAGTGAGTACCATCCAAGCAGAACCTGAAACAAGAGAGATGTTTAACGCAATCATTTATATGATGTCCTCAGGTGCATCCAAGCAGTTTTGAGTGTTTTGTTTTTCCAGGAAAGGGCTGAAATTCAAGCTTATACACTACAACAACAACAACAACAAGCCTTTATCCCACTAGGTGGGGTCGGCTACATGGATTGCAAGACGCCATTGTGCTCTATCATTTATTAAGCTTTTAGAAATATTATTAATTAAGAGATCACGTTCAACAACTTCCAAGAGTGTTCTCTTAGGCCTTCCTCTACCTCTCTTAATCGGACTCAAAGTTATATGTTCCACTCTTCTCACTGGTGCCTCCCTTGGTCTTCTTTGTACATGCCCAAACCATCTCAACCGATTTTCTACCATTTTTTCCTCAATAGGTGCCACCCTCACTTTTTCGCGTATGTGCTCATTTCGAATTTTATCTTTACGTGTATGTCCGCACATCCATCGTAACATTCTCATCTCTGCTACTCCAACTTTATGCTCTTGCTGTCCCGTTAGAGCCCAGCATTCACTACTATATAACATTGCTGGTCTGATAGCAGTACGATAAAACTTTCCTTTAAGTTTATTAGGCACCTTACGGTCACAAATAACTCCTTTAGCTTTTCTCCAATTAAACCACCCAGCTTGAATTCTATGTGAAATATCTCCACTGATTTCGCCATCATTTTGAATAATGGCTCCCAAATATCTAAACTTTTCCACTTGAGGTATAATTTGATCTCCCAATTTCACTTCCAAATTATTTTCGAATAGTCCTTTACCAAATTTACAATATAAATATTCCGTCTTACTTCTACTCAGACGAAAACCTTTCGACTCCAATGTCCTCCTCCATAACTCAAGTTTGCAATTAACCTCTTCTCTTGTCTCTGCTATAAGAACTATATCATCCGCGAAGAGCATACATTTCGGGATTTCCTCTTGAATATGTTCCGTCAAAACATTTAAAATCAAGTTAAACAAATAAGGACTCAGAGATGATCCCTGATGTAGTCCAATCTTTATAGGAAAATCCTTTGTTTGACCACTAGGCGTTCTTATACTAGTTTTTACCCCCTCATACATATCTTGTATGGCTTTAATATAAGCAATCCGTACTCCCTTTTTTTCCAACGCTTTCCAAAGCACTTCTCTTGGTATACGGTCATAAGCTTTTTCCAAATCAATAAAAACCATGTGTAGATCTTTATCTTTACAACGATACTTTTCCATTAATCCCCTTAGTAGATAAATCGCCTCTGTAGTTGATCTACCTGGCATAAAACCAAATTGATTCTCAGAAATACTTGTCTCCAATCTCAACCTGTGCTCAATTACTTTCTCCCACAATTTCATTGTGTGGCTCATGAGTTTAATCCCTCTATAGTTAGTACAATTCTGAATATCTCCTTTATTTTTATAAATAGGAATTAATGTACTTCTCCTCCACTCATCAGGCATTTTCTTGGACCGTAAAATCACATTAAATAACTTAGTTAACCATCTCACCCCTTCTTCACCTAAACATTTCCACGCTTCAATAGATATACAATCAGGTCCGTTGGCTCTACCATTTGCCATTTTCTTAAGAGCTTCCTTTACCTCCTTATCACGTATTTTTCGATAGAATGACAAATTTTGTTCTCCTTCACCAGTTACTAAATCCTCCAAGTTACTAGATGAATCCTCTCCATCATTGAAAAGTTTAGAAAAATAAGTCTCCCATCTATTTTTAATTTCATCATCTGTAACTAAAATTCTTCCCTCTTCATCCTTAATACACCTTACCTGTTCTAGATCTCTTGATTTTCTTTCCCTACTCTTGGCAATCTTATAAATATTTTGCTCTCCTTCCTTCGTCTCAAGGTTCTTATAAAATTCTTCAAAAGCTTTAGAGCGAGCTTCACCCACAGCTCTCTTAGTTTCCTTCTTAGCCATACGGTACCTCTCCCAATTTTCCTCATTGTTACACAAATGTATGGCTTTAAAACAGTTCTTCTTATACTTGATTTTGTCCTGTACACTATTATTCCACCACCAAGACTCCTTATCTCTCGGACCAGAACCTTTCGATTCTCCCAAAACTACTTTTGCAACCTCCCGTATCTTTTTAGCCATATCCTCCCATATAATGTTAGCACTTCCCTGAGAATCCCAAATTCCTTTATCCAAAAGATTTCGCTTGAAAATATCTTGCTTCTCACCTTTTAATTGCCACCACCTAATCCTTGGTGTTACTACTTGTCGACGTTTTTGGATTTTACTCATAATACACACATCAAGGACTAGGACCCTATGTTGTGTCGTTACAGCATCTCCGGGTATCACCTTACAATTTTTACAAAGTTTTCTATCTGTGTTCCTAACCAAAAGAAAATCAATCTGCGACCTTGAGGCTCCACTTTTGTAAGTGATGAGATGCTCATCTCTCTTCTTGAAACAAGTGTTGGCAATCTTAAAATCATACGCCAATGAGAAATCAAGAAGAGTTTGTCCTTCATTGTTTAGCTCTCCAAAACCAAAACCACCATGCACCCTCGCATACTGACCAGCTTCCCTCCCGACATGCCCATTAAAGTCTCCTCCAATAAAAATCTTTTCACTCTGTGGTATGTGTCGAATCAACCCCTCTAGATCCTCCCAAAATAATTCCTTTAGACTGGCTACTGTCCCGACTTGCGGCGCATAAGCGCTAACAATATTAACAGTCTCACGTCCAATTATCATTTTTAAAGAAATAATTCTATCTCCAATTCTGCTAACTGCTACAACGTTCTTCTTCCACTCCTTATCTATAATGATGCCTACTCCATTGCGTGCACTTACTTTTCCTGTATACCAAAGTTTGAAACCTTGAATATCCTTAGCTTCTTCTCCACGCCATTTTGTTTCTTGCAAGCAAATGATATTGATTTTCCTTTGAATCATAACCCCTACAACCTCTACAGATTTACAATTTAATGTCCCAACATTCCAAGTACCAAATCTAATTTTGCTCTTATGGACTAACTTCTTTAGCCGCGTGCGTCCAGAATAACGCGGTAGCCCTTGCTCATTTAACACTACATCCGGGCGCCGATGCAGCGGCTCTAACTCACTTATCACTGTACTCGAGCCATGCAGCGCGTTACTTACGGGCAACGACCTAGCATTAACATTATAACGTCTATTGTCCATGTTCATGATAGATTCAACAAATTTTTACATTGGCTGTTGATGGCCTAACACAACCCTCCTCCTTTACTCGGGCTTGGGACCGGCTATAAACATAGGCGGAGTTAAATTCAAGCTTATACACTACTAGACTCAAAACAAGTGCAGTTATCTCCAAGTATAAATGATACACAACCACCCAGAGGTAGCCCAAATAATAAGGGTACGGTGAGGTTGGAGACCAAAGTGCAAACTCATTCAATGTAATCAAAAGGAGTTTTTTTTTTTTCCCCCGGTTGGAGGTAAAAAACTTACAGACATATAAAATATTCAAATTACTCAGTCAACCAACATGGAAACCGTACAGCAAGGTCTTAGAAGAAAGGAAAATATTAATATAGCCATAACCAATAAAGGAATCTCAAAGCACTGAACTTGGATCTGTAGCTCAACTATACAATCAAATTTTCAGCTGGTTCGGCTGTGTCTAAGGAATTTAATCCCAACTAGGACCATGAGTAGATTGTTGTCCTTCAGCAATTATATTAAATGAAGTGCAAAAAGAAAGAAGTCAATCATTGATGTCCGCTTTGATCCTCCCTATTGGGAAAAAATGAACTCCAAAAAAGTTTAGACCACCAGAACAGATGATGGGTGAGCAAAAAGCTATAACTCCACAAGGTATTTTTTTTTTTGTGCCATCATACTTGCGGGAAAACATCTTATAAAATTATAGACAAAGTGTATTCTTCAAAATTCGTTCTCCTTAATTGAGCTGAAAATTAGTGCCAGCAAAATTTGACCAAAATTTTGTCCTATATTTAGGCAACGAAGACCAGCAGAACCAACATCAGAATTTGGAAACACGTTGGATGATTGGACGCTACATCAACAATATCAGGCAGGTCCAAGAACAGTTTAATAAGGAACATAAACAGAGTAAAGTGGTTGTTCTTTTTTTTTTTTTTTTTTGGGGGGGGGGGGAGGAGGTTCTGCAAAATTCGGAGATTTACTTCTCAAACCACCTTGTGAACTCTGGCGCACATGAAGCCAGCCAGCCAAAGTAATATTTCCTGTGGAGTGTCACATCATCCTGTGACCCTTTTTCCTTCACAAAGTTGGTTTTTACAGTACTTAGAATGCAATTGATTGATTTGTTGTTTACCACATCTTGCACAATAGTTTAACCATGCAAGCTTGATAATAATTGTAACAATGAGACGGACATATGATAAGACAATATGACTATTTAGTATACACTACCAAGAATTAAAATAAGAATCACTTCTATCGAAAATAACAACTACTTTTTTTTGCCAACAAGATTAACTATTACTTGAGAAACCAGAATTGAAATATGCTGTAAATGCGTAACTACACAGCTGGCACCTGTCAATAATCTATCCACGGTAACCTATTGTCAATTTGTCTTGCCTAATTAAAACGAACACCACAATCAGTTGGCCAAGCTCAAAGGAAGTAGCAAGGACAAGTCTACGAAGGCCCTAGGAAAGTAGAGAGAAATGAATATCCAATTTCAACATATGTTTTAAAACTGAAAGAAGTCAGATGTCAATTGGTGACATTTAATGCGACCAAAAGATAGATTGAATGCCTCACTCAATTTGTTTAAATTCAAAGCAAAGTATATAATAGCTTAATGCGACCAAAAGATAGATTCAATGCCTCACTCAATTTGTTTAAATTCAAAGCAAAGTATATAATAGGTCAATCGAGGTTGAAAAAGACATAAAACCTGACAGTTTTTCCTTTCAAATTCTGGAAAACAATTTTCCAAGTCTTCAATTGTCTTTAACTAACATATTGATGAGGTCAAGGCAGCGTTGCCTAACACTTCCAAACAAGCACATTCAATTCATACACGATTCAAACAGGGTTATATCATGGGGGAAAAAATATAGAAATTGGACATAAAAAAAGAGTTGAAGAAACCAAAAAAAAACAGAGAGATAATTCAGGTCTAAACTTTATTGAAGATTATTGTATTCCTTTACAATCCCAACCCAATGAAAAATATGTATAGGTACAGAACAGAGGAAAAACACCAAAGATATCTTATGTGCATATAAAATTCAAATGATGCATTGATATTTGATACTACGACATCCATTAATTATTTCTAGAGCTTTGATTATTTAACATGTTCAAAGAATATCAAATTTCATCACAACATGTTCAAAGAACTCATTTCGCCAAAGAAAGTCTTGAGCTAGCCAGAATTTGTTTCTTATTTTACAATTTGTGCCTATTCCGGGATCATTTTTTTTTTTTTTTTTCGGTTGGGGGGGGGGGGAATGGAACCAGTAATAGACACGATGTCATCATTTACCTGTGAAAAGTTTGAAGGCAGTTGGTCTACTCCTTCGCTGAGTAACCCAGAACACATCTTGCTTTTTAGACAAATACAATCCGGGATCAATTATTATCGGCCTTGCCCGTTGATGACTGCGCTCAAGCACAGAACCAGTCAAATCAACAATCTCACAGAATAGGAAAGGGGGAAATTGTAAAACAAATAACAAAGCCCACTCACTCTTTCCATCCAATGTCACTGGTATGATCAATGAAATTAAGCTCGCGAGGCAAGTATGAAAATGTATGCAGCAGATCTGATGAGGCAAAACTCAACAATCAGTCAATTAAACCACACTAAGGTAAATCTCCAATCGTCCAACATAGAAAATAAATCACTAACCATCCTGGGTAACGAGTGGATAGTCAGAGGCACTTAGGTTAATGAACCAATCCCAGTCACCACCTTCCCTCAACAAGATCGCTGCGGCGTGAAGGGTGTTCGCAACCATTGTGGGACCGCGGTAAGTAATCAGATTCGCCTTCTTGATTACCTTTACATTACCAAATTTCCTGAAAATTGGATGATCTTTCACAAACTTCTGCAGATCAGCTCGCTCCTCAGGCGGCGACTCAAGGTCCAAATGCACGACGTAGGAGTTGCGAGGATGGTAGAGTGCTAAAAGCGTGCGTTTGAGCGCATTACCGTCGCCGACAGAACCAGATATGAGGTAGGCGAAACTTGGTGGGGGCGGCAGAGAAGAAGCGGGTATAGGGTGAAGCTTGGATTCAACAAAAACGGAATAGGAAGCGGTTATAGAGCGATAAATGGGAAAGAGAGAAGTACCATCGGGTGATGCGAGAGTGGCAAGGCAGAGAAGGAAGAGAGAAACAATAGAGCCAATAGCGAGAGGGAAAATCCACTTGCGCTCCCATTTAGGTTGGTGCCTCAGATGCACGTAATAGTTCTTCAATTTCTTCATTTGCAGCAAGGTCCTCTGCGTGATAAGATAACTGACAACTGATAAGCGAAGTGGGAGGGAGGAAGAAGGGGTTTAAAGATAAGTGTTAGGAAGCCCTGAAGTTAATGCGCAGCAGAAATTGGAAAGATGAGTGGAAATTGAAGGGGAGTACAGGGGAAGTGTTGAAGAATGAGGGACTTGGTATAGGAAGTCGGGTGAGAAGAGGCTTTAACGCGGTGTTTCTCACTCTTTGTCACGCCGTGACTGAAGGAGAAATTTGGTAGGCGGTAGCTTCACTGTTGTTCTCGCTAGTCGCTACGATTTGGTCGAACAGTAAAGACTCTCGTTGCCTAGCGATCAGATGGCTGAGAATCGGGATGGCTCCGAAATAGGAATCGCATTTAATTCAGAAAGACGGTTTGCCGGCCACCTGAATCCTCTCTCGTCTTTTCTTCTGTCCTATCTTACCAAGTCCTGGTGTTATCTTTTTCATTTTCTTGCAATAAAATACAAATACCTTTTATAAGTTCGGTAGTCAACAATTAACATTAATTGAAACTTAAAATTTTAAATTCACTTATTTCCACTGCTAATTATAAAATAAAATGTTATTTGTGTTTTCTAAATGAACACTTATATTATCTTTTGTTGTAATATATTTTTATTCTTTTATTAAATTAAGTTAATTAGCACCCAGCTCATTGGGCTTAATAAAAAGAGTTAGGACTTATTTAAAATTATTTTTATTTTATTATTTTGAAAACTAATATTTAGTAGAACATATTTTAAGAACAGAAAAATAATAAAAATAAATATTTTTATTATTTTTTTATCCTTTAAAATAATAATTCTAAAATACTTAAAAGATGTTTCCATCTTCATGTTCTTTAAAATAATATTTTATTTTTTATTTTTTAAAATATTTTTTAAAATACATTACCAAACTTTTTTTTTATTTTGAAGAACAAAAAATTATTCTTAAAATAGATTGCCAAACAAGCCTTTAGTTTCTTACAATATGAAAAAGTGCTCACATTGATACTTGACCATATCTTCACTAAAAACAAGATTATCTTTAATAAAAGGATCCACATGTATAATAAAATAATTAAGTTAATTAATAACCTTTTAATATTAATTAAGTTAATTATTAATATTAAAAATTATTATTGTGAATAATATAAGACATAATAATGTGTAGACATAGGTCTATTATTAATGTCTATGTGATATTCTATGCAACAACTAAAAGTATTTATTTATTAGACAACTAAGCATGTTTAAAATTATGTTAGGGACAAAAATGTTTAGAAAATTTGTTGAAAGAAGCATGGGGTATCCTTACATTTCAAAGTGAACAATATTATCTTAAAAATGTGAAAAATGGAGCAATTTTTTCCTACACCATTAGAAGAGCATACAAACGTTTGTCATGTGTCACAGGACCCATTTTTAGTTCCATGTGTTGTTGGAGCCATCTAATCTCTTCTTCTTCCTCCTTCAATGATTTGCTGGTGATGATTCTTCTTCTTCCTGAAAACACGGCAAATGCAAGAGGAGATGTGTGAGAAGTGGTGTTTGGTGAACTCAAGCGCTCAAACCAAACCAAAGCCACCTTCTTCCTCCTCCTCCTCCTTCGAAGATTCACCCACACCATCACGGCATCACTGATTCAATGATTCACCTTCACTGTTGCATCATTTTATCCTTGTTAGTCATCGTTCATCTTCTCCCTCGCAATTCCTCAACCTTGTCTTGTGCGCTCGCTTATGTCTCCCTCCTCAAATTCATGCACTTGAACCAAACCAAAGTCCAAATTCTAAAAGACTAGAACCATGGAAGTTCTCGATCTTGATCTCATGCTCTCTATTTCCCTCAATCTCAGTTTTACTCTCGTTTGTCTTGTGTCTCAATCTCACAATCCCAATATCGATCTCGATCTCACCACTTTGCTCTTCCTCTGACTCACATACTCTCCGTTCCCAGAGATTTTTGCTTTGATTCTTCCTGACAGTGATTTTTAATCCCACGCCTAATGTTGAAATTTCTGCTCTTATTTTTGCTATGATTTCCTCTTATTTTGGTATGTAAGGGATCTGAGATGGAGGAGAATCTAGATGAAGAAGACCAAAGTGAAGCGTCTTTGCAACGTGGCTTGTTAAGTGTTTTGATATCAAATTTTTCAATCCCTGTTAGTCAAATGTTAGTCAAACATTTTAAAAGGCCAAGATTACTCCATTTTGCACACATTTAAGATAACATTACTCCTTTTAAAAGGTAAGAATATATAGTACTCCTTTCAAAAAAATTTTAAAATATTTTTAGCCCTTAACCTTTTAAAATTTAGCAAAAGGAAGATGGTGGATATTTGTTTCTGCAAATGGCTCTATTTCTAATTTGTCGTTAACATTAATGTAACAGATTCTGCACTAGTAAACCGTAATGTAACATGGCATGGAGTATGGACCTCAGGATATACATGCTAAAATAATCACTACAACCAAGCCACCGCGATACCATCCATTACTCATTTGTTTCTTCACTGCTTTACTAAAATTCAAATGAAACAGAAACCGGAGAGTTTCTACTCATTTGCTGACTCTCAAACCCCGCGGCTCTCTCTCTCACACGCGCGCGCTTGCATGACTTTCACAATGTTATATAAATTTAGTTTAATTAATCCATTTCAATTTCTGTGGCCCAAAAAAGGGGGAAAAAAGAAAAATATTCTTAAAATATGCAAATAACAAGTAAGTACTACAAAATATGATGATTATCTTGACCAAAAAAAAATATGATAATTATTTTTTAGTCTTTGGAAACTTACCAAACATTTTTATTTTGTCAAATGACATATTTGCTCTTGTTTTAAAATTTATCAATAAAGTCCAACAAAAAGTATTAATTATTACTTTTTTGGGGAAATGATTTTAAAAAAATAACTAAATTGAAATAATTTGCAAGTAATGATGATTATTTTCTTTTATTTTTGAGAAGGGTAAAAAAGTTTTTTCACATTAAAACTACTTGACAAACAAGTCTTTTGATTAGAAAATAAGTATCACATTTCATAGTATCTACTACCTAATTATCATTTATATATTTTCCAATCATTTTAAAAAATCCGTTCATTTTGTCTTTAATCAGAAGTCACAGAATTGGCCAAAAAAATATCACAAGTCACAGAGGCGTGTGTAGAAAGTTCAAAACCCGTTTTGTGGAGTTGAATAAATCAATGCCACTTACCACTATTAAAGATGAAAATAATGTTTCACTGCCGGAATAGGCGGGAAGAATGTTGAGGTTTCCTTTGGGGTTCCATCCTGATTAGTTTTTCAAATTCAGAGAGCGATTTGACATCAATTACCGATGGATCTTTGAAATAAGTAGCATGAAAATATATGCTTCTTTTTGCCAAAAAAGATGAAAATAATGCTGGTCACTCAGGCAATGCATGTTTTGAAGTTGCCATGAAATTCCATATTTTTGGGAAGTGGAAAGACATACGTCCTTGCTCACCGGTCACCCCTTTCTTGTGTTCCTAATCCCATGTTCCCAATCGATAATTCTATATCACAATATTTTATTGTAAGTAATATTGTTCAAGATATAATTAAACACTAAATATTATTATCTTTCAAAAATGATAAAAAAGTACAAGTACCACAAACTCCAAAAATTGATTAAGATGACAATGACTTGATGATTTCCTACTAGGAGGTTCACACAACAATATTACAAGTTGGGATGTTAAAAATGATTGATTACATCAGCGTTTTATGTGTACATGATACAGGTTGAGATTAATCTTCTTCTAGACCACAAAATAAACAGACCTTACCTTGAGATGCATGTAAATATTTTCGGCCAAAAGGAGGCTAAAATTTGTTATTTAGATTATATGATGAATAAATAAATAATTATAAAATTCATACTCCCTCCCTTAAAAAATATAAAATACTTTTTTAGAATTTAAATGTTTAAAAATATAAAATATTTTTAATATTTTGAAGGTAATTAACGTGCTTTTATAAAAAAATGCCCTTAACAAATTAGTCACTTTTTATTTATTTTAAAGTGAAACATTATATTAAATAAGAATAAAAATTGTAAAATAGTTTTAATTAGGAGACAATTAATTATTTTATTAGACTGTGTGATTCAATTTTTAAATATATCTTATATTTTAAACGGAATGAGTAGCATAGATAAAAAATGAAAAAAAAAACGAAAGATTATTTGCGTTGGGCAAAGGGTAAACTTTATTAGAAAACTTCAGTATAAAATCACAAACCTTAGATGGCATTAAATAAATTATTCGTATAATGAAAGGGAGTGACAAGAGTCACATGAAATGAAAATTTTAATTTAAATAAAAAAAATTTACATGGCCATTGATTCCCAGGTTCTCACAAATTATCTTCTTTTTTTTTGTGTCGAAAATTCTCATGAGTCATCAGAAGGAAACAATTCCAGACATTGATGATAGTACGAAGCAAACCTCCAATCCAAACGTGGTCCCCGCTCCACACGCAATCATTTTGCCTCCACCTAATTAATAAGCCAATAATAAATAAATTAATATCGAAACGATCCTAACCGTCAAACAAATTTAAAATTTCTAATTCGTGTCGTGCATTTTGTTCCATCCTCTTCCTCTTTCAAGGACCGTGTACAATTTAGATTTTACAAATCATGCAATCCTGTGGAAGTAATCTCACGCGCCATTGATGTTATTTTGGTTTTATTACACCATTTAGGTTTTGTCTCAGTTCTTTTTTTCACATGTCTTGGATTAGAGGTACTTAGATTAGGTCGGAATTTAGAATTACAATACAATCCCTAGGTAGGTAATTAACCATATGGGGTCCACAAGTAAAACAGTATTCCCCTTTCAATTAAAATATTTTTTAGATAAAATTATACATATTCACAAACTTTATTAAATAAAATTAATTTTTTTAAAATAGAAATATAAATTTTTAAAAATATCTTTTATTTAGGATGTGTTTGGATTTTGGTGGAGTATAATTAATTATAAAAAATTAATTAATATGATTAATTTAGAATATAATTGATTACATTTTGTGGTAATAATTAATTTATAAAATTAATTAATAAGATCAATTTTAATCATAATTGGAGAGCAAACTTGAAAATAAGGTAAAACCATGGTTTTGTAAAAAAAATCCAAACACCCATATTACATCTTAAAATTAATTATAAATTCAAAACTGTATTTTTAAAAATGTATCTAAATACCCATTATACATGTCAAAATTAATTGTGAATTCAAAATTATAATTTTTTAAAAAATATCCAAACACCCCACATATGCCGAAATCAATTATAAACTTAAAACTATGATTATTTTTAGAGTTGATAATAAGGGTCGGGCTTGATGGGCTCGTTTAAGCCCGTTTTTAATGAAGGTTTGGGTTAAAAAATTTAATAATTTTTAGGATAACTGGAA